TCATTTTAATTTTATTTATTTTATTAAATTTTAGTATCAATTTTCTTGATACAATCCAGCGGAATCATTTCCTTTTTCTCTAATTACCGTTTTATCAATTTTCCTCGAATAGACGATAACTCCGCCCGAATTATTCAACGATGGATATTCAAACTCGTCGAACTTCTGCGTAACCGTCGTTCATCCCGGGATCAGCACCACGCAGGCCATTCTAATCGAAACACTTTGTACGTCGTTCATCCTTTGCGCAGCTTGCGCTACTTGGGACCCAAGATGCGCCCACACCACGGATTCCACTGCAATCAGATTTGGTTTCTCCGTTGTTGCGATTTCACTAGCGGCTGTAAGCGATTCAACTCTAAAAATCGTGAAAAAATTTGTACGAATGAAAATTTCAGAAAATATTCCAATTCCTCAGAGTCCCTACACTGGTTGCAGCATGAATCCTGCTCGTACATTCGGTCCGGCATTTTGGAACAGTAACTGGAAGGATCAATGGGTAAGCGTAATTTTCCCAATAAAACGATTTATTTACTCAGTGATTTAGAAAATCTTCTTCACAGTGTAATATTTTCTATAATCTTTTTCGATCCTTTTTAATCTTCGTCATTCTTGATAACAGACACGAGTTTTCACGCTTTAGATTTCCCGCATTTTATCGCTTCCGAGTCATTACCTCATAGGCTCGCGAAAAGATTAGTGCAAATATTGACTCGCTAACGTGAAGATTAGATTACGTCATAGGCGATCGATAAACGTAATTTTTTCACGTGAATATATCTTCAGATTTACTGGTTTGGACCGACTGCAGGCGCTTTGCTCGGAACGTACACCTATCAGATCCTTTTCGCGTTGAAAGAAGAGGATAAATCGAACAATAATCTTGGGTTCATAGAAATGAAAGCGGTTAAAACGTACGACGACGATATAGTTTGTACCAAAGAGAGAAATGACAGAGAGGAAAATCTCCGTTACGAACATGACAAAGGAGAGAGCGCTGCATAAAGGGAAATATTAAGGTACGATCACGTATTACCGTCTGCCAGCAAAAGAGTCTTCCATGATATTCGACGTAGTTCACGACGCCACCACTGGAGTCGCGGCGCGTTACAATCTGGCCTGCATTTCCATTTACCTTCTACATCGCAGTTATCTCGTGCCTTTCTTGCATTATTTCACGAAACAATATAGGATTACTTGCACTGCCTACAATCGTTATTTAATTTTATCACTGTGAAAAGTATATATTAATTATCTTGTCGTTACGAAATTGTAGGTTTCATGAGTAATACTACGATTCCTTTAAGTCAAGTTATTTAATATCTACTGATAATGCAAGAATGCATTCTAGCTATAAGAAACAAAATAACAAATGACACATGTTTAAACTGATGCAAACAATATGTATCGCTCTAATCGAAAGATTCGTAAGTTTGTGTATGGCGAAAAATATATCGAAGTTTAAATCAGAAAAATCGAGATCACGTAATTTCTCCTTGAGGATAACATTTACGACGTTAGGACTGTCTTTTTATACTTTGATTCACTCCACGCTGAGTTTTCTTGGAACGATAGAAACTTCACTTACTTTTTTTTCTTATATAACTAGCCTGGACAGACTGTCTCTCTTAATAGAACAATCTAATTAACGAACTTGATATCAAAGAAAATAACGGTTCTAATAATGTGACTGCGTGACAACTTGAGAACGTTCATTCCTCTCGTGAGAACACTGCGTAGATGATATTCTACAGGTACGACGTTGTCAGAATCTGAATCGATAATGGGGCGGTTCGTAGATGCTTCTGGAATTTTAAGCTCCGGACACACCTGTGCACCGCCTCTCGGGGTAGAATTTCTCTCGAAAGAAACATCTGCGTACCTGTTATATTACAGGGTCTATCATATTCGATTCAAGAAATTTCTAAAATTCACGACACATTCGAAATTTCAAAATATTTCGAAATTCCTACTATTGAAACGTAATTTTCGTAATATTGAGAATAAAGAAACATCTGTATACTCATTATACTCGATTCAAGAAATTTTGAAAATTCATTAAACATTCGAAATTTATTTTTCAGATGCGAAATTTCAAAATATTCCAAAATTTGTAATATTGAAATATAAGTTTCGTAATGTCGAAATATGGAAATATCGTAATATTCGTAAAATTGAAAATTCTAAAACAATGTATTAAAAAGGATTACGATTTTTAATCACAAGAACACCAACAAGTAACGTGTCTCTGTAATCCTATTATTTATGTATAAAGAAAGTCGCACTAATTTACTGAGAAACGATAGGACGAGCACTGAGTGGTGTAAAGCAAAACTTAGTTTCTACCGAGTTACGCTCTATTGCAAAACACATAGATTGCGCGAACAAACGTTGGACAGAAGCCTATCATTATCTGTTCATCGGTACTACTCATGCCTGCTTTCCTTTTTTTTTCTTTTTTAATGGACAATTATCGAGGTAGATAGTTGCTCATACTTTCGGCCGTTTAATTAATTACTGCACGTACTAGCACGTCCTCGTCACTTCCAATTCGTTTCACGATACACACTTTTTATCATGTTTTAACGCGTGTTGTCGTTTTAATACGAACAACGTCGGAGACAACCACAACGTGTTGACGAAAGAAAATGGAATACGAAACAGAGAGATAGTTATCAAACTACCTGCAACCACAACACAGATCGTTAATCGCATTCCAGTTTAAGTATAGCATATCCACTTGAGCTAAAATTAACAACACACCACGGTTATTTAGATATGTACACACTTGCAACTAGTTTTATAGGTTAGCTTGTTTTCAACATTTTATCGGAATTTATAGTTAACCGAGGTCACGGCTAATTCTATTGATAAATACAATTTTACACGTTGGATGGAGTACGTGACCAAAAGCACGTCGTGACTTAAAATGCTCCGACGTATTTACTATATACACTAGACGTCCCTGTGTATATATATATGTATAAAACTCGACCGCTGCAACTATTGATTACCTGCTGCATCTGTCCGTAGAACGTTCCGGACTCCGACAGACTCGATATGCTCGAAATACCTTATTCTCCCTTTTAAATTCATCTTTTCCATACGAAATTCTACCAATCTAACCTCACTCCGCGATAAAAACAAACCTCGCGTATGCATCTTTGAAATTCATCCTTGCTACGTATAATTTGCGCATTCGGTGTGCGTGACCGATAAAAAAACATGGCCGTATCGGTGCCACGTGATAACGTCTGATAAAGACTAATTCAGAAGTGTGAACGTCCGTGGTTCACGAGGTGGACGAACGCTACGAACGTCGCAGTACGAGAGCCCATATAAAGATGCTCATCGTTACCTACATATAATGCTCGCTTCTAAATTTACCACGTCGACCTCGCGGTTGTATAAACGACACCGCTAAATTTACAACCGTTCGATGCGCGAACCAAGCACCATACTAACCGAACACCAACCAGTTGCCCGAGCCACGGAGCCATGTCGTTCCAGAGAATGTTACGCACCCATGCACACTCAAGGAACATCCATTGAAAACATCAAGAGACACGCAGTCTGCATCTGGATGGACGACGTGTTCCCGTTTCTATTCTCGACGTTTTCCCAGCCCGTGCGAATCTATCGCAAGCATCTGCACGTTATTGTATAGTCGGTGAAAGCGATATAGCGACGTAAAATCGGCCAGGTGTCCAAGTAGATGTAACTCGAGCAGTTTGAGGGAGATAAGAAACTCACATTTCGTTCAGGACTGTTCAATGTCAACTCTGAATTGGTTTTTCAATATACATATTTAATAAATTTGCCTATGCTTTAATTTTTAACAGCTGTAGGTTCATTTTCACCAATACGGTAATTATTAATGAACAAGAGACGATGAATGTTTAATATTGTACAGCTTTAATGAAAATTGTAAGAAAAAATTTTAAATATTAATTTACAAGTGACGTACAGCCCTGGGTGTGGCTACACCAACTGATGTCGTCGTTTAATGTTTTAACATTAACCGTACCGGCACTTTATGTATACCTATTCTTACAGTAGCCGGTTGAATGACAGTTTATGAAATAAAGATGATATTATTCCGAAAGGAATACAGCTGATTGTCAATTTAATATAGGGAACAACGCAGAAAATAGGCTTTAGATAATAATAAAAAGAAATTACATATCAAATTTTCCAACCGGGCGTGGTACGGTTAGTGTTAATTTACTACCTCGCTATATCGGTTCCACTAGCTATACACTCTCCTGCTTCTATGAAGCCGGCTTTTTACCCTTGCCCCACGAAGTTAATCCCGTTTCGCTATTCCGGTTATTATACGTTCGAATAATACACAAAGGATTCCGCCTGGTCTCCACGAAACGTTTTGGCCACGACCCTATGTATTCCCATGAATAAAATTACATCAATTGCGCGTCTTCGAACTGCGAGATCCCGTGCAACCGGAGACCGGAAGACGAGCGAGGAAAATCGATAGAGCTGCTACAGCTGTCGCTACGACGAAACTTGTATTGCGCAATAATATGTACCTTTTGCATAGGGACGCCGGTCTACGTTGTTTTACGGTAAGGTCGGTAATGACACGCAATAATGCGATGTAAAATTATCGCGTGATTAGAAAACGCCGCACGACACCTTTTCCGCCCGTGGTCAACCGCATTAACCTCGGAATGTTGACCCGCGTCACGCTATTTGTGAGTCACGTGTATTTGCAAACAGGCTGTCATCAGTTGCGTCACTGGCGCCAGTATCGCGACCGCGCCTACCAACGAGCATAAAGTAAAATTCGTTATGATATAATTTATTCTCTTTTGCATCCTCATCTTGTTGATGGAATTTCGTTTATCAAACATATCCCGAACTGCGTAGTTTCGACGACACGTGTCACGATAAAGTCCCGTCGCAGTTTGGCGTCCCTTCGATTCCATCGAAAAGACGCATTCAATTGCCCTTCGGTTCTACGTAAACACTGACGCGTATCCCCCACTATTGCGAATGGAAATGCAATCTTTCTCCCGGAGTTATCTCAAAGAATCACCTGTAGACGAGATAATTGTCGAATATCTCGGCCTCACGCTGCAGGCGATCACTAAAAATGTTATCTAGAATAGTATTTGTATGTCCCCATGGTAATTAACACGATCGAGACGCTGCGTGAGAAGTCCTAGAAACAATGACGTTCTAGAAAATTGCGCGTAGAAGCTCAGGTGTTGTTTAGGACAACCTCGTAGCCTGTCCTTGATTTTGGCAACGCGTAGTTCCCCTGGAATAGCCCTTCCCCTGACGTAACGATGAAAACAAACATACAAATAACACCAGGTTACACCGTTCGTTTCTATCACGCACGCAGCCTAACCGTTTTACCGTACACAAAGCGGAGATGGAAGAATCGTGTGCTTGTGTGTGTTAGGTTATGGTGGGGGTTTGGGAAGGGGAACGTGCCAGAAATCTCGTCGTTCTGCCGCCGATCAATACTTGGTTTTTGGCTATTTTCTCGGAAAATCTATGAAAAATCACGATGACAGTATCACGAAATGATAGTTCGTGACACGGGGAATACTATGATATAGGTGGCTGATGGATAAGTGATGGAAAAAGTGTGGAAATAACGGTCCGGAAGAAAGTGCGCATTAGGTGCCGGTAGCCGGTGCAACTTCTCGAACGTTCAGCACTGCGACGCCGCACGCCTATATAAGTGGGCCGGCCGGCTTGCCTCGACGCATTCGTAAATAATCTTTCGTTCAGTTCGGACGCAGCGAACACCCGAAGACCCACTAACCAGTGAACATACCTCCACTCCTTTTACGTGGTCCACGAGGCTGCTGACAACGACGTGAAAATGTAGACGAGACGGATTTGGTGCGGAGCGCGACAGTTTACCGTGGGTATTCTTTAGCTTTTAAGTGATTTATTTCATTTTTGTAGTTTTTTGGTTTGGATTTTTGAGCTTACGCTTCTGCGATATTACTGTTGTTTTTATCGTGTAATTAAGATACTACAGTGTCTATGACATACAGTAGTTGACAGTAGAGGTTACTACGATACTGTTGAATTCAATTGACAGTTCAGATTGAACATGTAAAACAAAAGTAATAACGTTAAAAGCACATTTGGTATTTATACCGCTAGAATATTACGCAAATAGTTCAAATGAGCGATGAAATTGTCTATTTATTTATCAGGGTATAATAACTCTGTGCGAGTATTTAATAATTCTTATATTTGTATTTTTTATCCATTTCTGATTTTACTATTTGTTATAAAAAAATTCTAATCTATATTACAAGACCTATAATTACATAAAGTTCGAATATAAAAAATATCGATTTAAGTTACAAATATCATTAGGCAATAATTTTTATTCGGTAGTCGTTTCTATTTTGATCGGTTTACTCGCGGGTTCTCCTGTTTTCACGATTTCGACGATTCGTTCGGTTCCGGCAGGTGTTTCTCCCTGAAACAGAAAGAACGTAATATATAAGAAAAATCATCTCGATAATCCCTTAGAAAAGCCTTTAGAACGACAAAACACGAAGCAAATCGAGACTATTTATATTTGTGTTTTTATAGTGCACCCTACGGGGTCGGTGCTTGAACAATCCGTACGCAACCATAATCTGGTCTGATTAGAGTTCGAAATTTCCTCACATTTTGAACAATTCGAGAAGAGCACTTCGAGATACATGAATTAGGTAAGCGGTCATTTAGAACCGACGTATTTCTACTATAATTACAATCTTTTAACACGTTAATTTAAGAGATCTGACACTTTTAACATACAATATTAGGGCTCACGGTGTCGCTACTTACTTCTATATAATAATTAATACAAATACAATGTTAGTATTCGAGAATAATATTCCAAACTGTACAAAGTTCCGAAGCATTTGACGTTTCGAATAATACTGTTTATCTACAATAATACGGCGGAACGTAGCGTCACTCTAGCCTTCACATATTAGCCACATAGATGTCGCACTTAGTCCTGTGTCTAAGTAGGATCTAGCGTATTTTCACGATGTCTGCTCAGAATACTGAGTGAATCGGAAAGTACTAATTGCATTTCGATGAGGAGCACTCGTTAGTTGAACATTATCGATTTTAACTCTCTATTTTCCCGAGTTTCTTTACCTAATTATCGTCTCGTCTTACGTAATATCGATTATCGATCTTACTTCACAAATTCTATTTACATTCAGTTCTCGAGCTGCTCCTTGGGGGTTATAATCGAGTTAAAGTCGATAATCGCGTTGAAACATCTACGAATGTGCCTCATCCAATGAACTCCTTAATCCAACGAAGACGTTCTTTTTATAGTTAATATAGCAGACTCGTAGTATTGAGATCGAGAACTAAATCGTCGGCACCATCCTCTTTAAACCGAATGTCTACTACCACACAAGGGCACACGGAACGTTGGAATTGCAAAATAGAAAAAACAAATCTACCCAGTCGAATAGAATAACAAACAGAAAGTAACAAACAAATAATCAAGGTAGAAAAGACAGAGAGGATCGATTTTGCTTAGCAACAACTAGCTTTGCGATATATATACATATATAAATAATCGTCAGCAAAACCGGGCGAGAAAAGTCCTCTTTTGCTCGGATTCGCGCTGGCGGACCAGCTCTCTTCTCTTCGTCTGTATATTTACCTTTTTGGGTGCCGTGATAGTTAGAACACCATCTGAAGAAAGGCTCGAGGTGACGTTGATCGTATCGTGAGATGAGGGCAACTGATATCTCCGTATGAAGTGTCTGCTGACAAATCCGTGCTCGTCTTGTTTCTCCTCGTGTTTGGCTTCGACAATAACATTGTTACCGACCGTTTTCACCGTGATCTCCTCCGGTGAGAATTGTTGAACGTCTAGTATTACCTGCGCAGAATAACCAGCAGTCGTTAAAACAGAAATCCATGTACGTTTACATGTCGATACGAACGAAATAGAGCGGAAATATTTTTTCGTGGCGATCAGTAGTGGCGTACGCGGGGGAGAGAGATAAAGGTCCATTTTTTTCCGCTGGGAGCATGATGTTACGTGTAATTAATACGATGCATAACAGAGCCTATATAAGAGATCCAAACGACCATTGAGAATAAATTCCATCAGATTCTGGCCGCATAACCGCTGACTCTCTCTCTACCATCGTCTTTTATCTTTTTTTTTTCTTTTCATTGCGAAACTTAAGTATTCAGGCTTCGTTTTTCTGTTAAATCGACAAGCATAGAAGAAGGTTAAGTCCATTTAAGTTCGTACGCCGCTTTAGGCAGGCGAAGGCAACTTCGCCTGCGTCCTTAAGAAAAAAAAAAAACCAACACACAACTGTATTATAATACTCGTCTAAGCTTGTCTATACTTCGAAATAACAGGTTTCCTTGTCTGGAATCTAGGGTGTGTTCGCACACTTGGCGAACACAGGATAATAGAAATCATATATACAGTTCAGCTTTTAGCTACTGTACGCACAACCAACCGTTTGTAAAGCTCCTTAAAGAGAATCAGCATTGAAAAACCGATATATTGTTAATCGCGACAAAGTTATAAAATTCAAGAAAGCATTAAGAAAAATCCGTTCTTCCGTTAAAGAAAAAAAACCTCGAATTGTACAACAGAGTTGGCTTCTAACCACGAGATAACACACACACAGACACGTGTAATATTCTCGTTATTCCGGAGTTGCACAGAACGCAGGAAACCGTTGTAGACGAAAAAATGTAGGGAGACAACAATAATTCTAGCAATTTTTCTCTCATCTCTCCGTTGCATCATTAATATTACCGGTATTGCGAAGTTGGTTCAGTTTTTCATTTCGTCTTTCATGTAACGTCTCGCGTTTTCGCACAGAGATACCTCGTTGATTTGTGCACGGTGTGGTAGAGCGGGCGAATCTAGAGAAAAGCAAACCGGGAAGATGTAGCTGACAAGCGCGCCTACTTGTGTGACACCGTTCCTTTTTTTTCCCCCCATTTGCAGAAGAAAGACGAGCATACGCATACAAGTAGGTGAACAGAGACAGATCATTTGTTTCTTTTTTACCTGGAGAAAATAAAGAATTGCATTTCCTCTTCGAGGAAATAGAAAATGTTTATCTCGTGGTTAGCAAGCTTCACTTCGAACGGCTAGAAAA